AGCAACGGCAAATACATTATTAGTTGATTTATTGCTAAAACCATTGATTTTTGTTTAAGCAAAAGTTTTTGGAAATAAAAAACGCTACGAATTTGTTCCTCAACCTAATACTTTATCACTGTGATGAAGTGAAGTTGTACCTCGTGCCCTTCTCTCTATATCGTCATGAAGCCAGTTTGTCCATTCAGACATCATGGTATTCAATTATTCAACGTACGAATTCTACCTAAGTGATGATGAACCACAGAAGATGACAAGAGCATCAATAGTTACCTGGCTTAATCATTTGGCCGACGCTATCGAGAAAAATACAGCAGCCGCCCAAGGAGGTGAAGATGAGTATACTTCAGTTTTTGAATAATAATACTTGAAGAACTTGTTTCAGGTCGTTCCTGGCCCATAAGAATTAAACGAATGATTTATGAACTATACACAAACGTTGCACAGATGTTCGCCACCCAACCATTGTTGTCGTCATGCCTTTTTGGTGTGCCGATAGCTTTTCTCAGCATAATCTGTTACAGGTGTGAAGATTGTCTTTCACTTTAAAATTTTTGGAGTGCTAACTCGCACAAACTCTTTCTAAAAAGAGCCCATAAATGATTTGCTCGTAAAATAAGCTTTCTAGAGATTTCTACTTGCTTCTGGTAAACAACCCTTTATTTCACTTATTTTTTGGTGCCATCTCTCATCTAGAACATTTGCACACAGTGCCAAATCCACAGCGATAAGATACCTTGTTCTGGGATGGTGTGCGGTGTGCATCTATACTACGTTGTGTCCTGCTCGGATTTTCTTTGACTCGCTTGCATTCAACAAAACATTATTTTAGCATCTGCTCTGCGGACTTCACAGTAGACCGAGATGAATTCTATCCAGAGGATGAAGATGAGGATTACGACGAAGCAGTGGAAGAAGACGAACGAGCTCACCTAGTTGACCCCAACCACCCAAAGAACGAATAATATCTCAGAAGATTACAAAGTGCTAGTCAAAGTAGCCCAAGAATTGCTCAGCGCCACCAGTCTTGTCAGTTTCTTTGTTTGTACATAATATTTGTTTTTTTTTCTTTGTCCTAACAAATTTGTCGCGTTTTTGATCTCTTCTCTAACTTTATATTTAGAAGGATAGGGTTTTTTTGCAGTTTATAATCTTTAGGAATATGTTGCTAAGTGTTGTAGTCTTTCTGTGGAAATAAATGTTGTTCTTCCAGGTTTGATTTAGAACATATTCAAATCTATCTACATCAATCTACGTGTCGCTCATACAGGTCACTTGAGTGACAGGAGGTCCAGTCGCCGTCATCCAGGACCTCCGGCAAGTGCAGAGCAGGTTAATTGTTTAATGGATGAACCTGTATGTACTTGGCCAGGCAGGGCAAGGATATGGAAGTTTGTGTTTGGTCCACAGAGAACAAGGAGCCTAAAGTAACTGTTCATTGTATGTACGTTCTGTGCTTTGACTG